AAGACTGGGTCGGATAGTGGAGCATGACTGGCGGGAAGAAGCTATCAAGCTGATGAAGACCCGCAAGATGTCTGATCCAGAACAGGTCCGGGCGCTGGCTCTTCCGTCAGACCAGCTGACTGACGAATTCACAGGTTTTCGTTCTGTAGTACTGTACTGGGTGTTGTTATAATTTGCTTGTTAATGCATAATCTGTACTGGGGTTGTTTCAACTTGCGCCCCGCTTGGTTGTACGTGAGGATAGAGACCCGGGAGAGGATAGGTCGTGTGACTCGGCTTTCAGCGAAAATGGCAGGGCGAGGTGGCTATGTGATTGGCACTGATGCTCTCAGGACTTCCCGCTTTCGCACTCATCGCCGATTAACCAGCCCTCAGGGATGGCTTCAGCCGACTGTTCAAGCGACTTTGGGGGTAAATCCACATCGACGCTGCGATTCTTCCTCAATGGATCACCCATCGTTCTCGACGGCAATTCGTTTGACCCCGACGCGACTCTGCTCGACTTCATCCGATCGCAGGGTCAGGGATTCACGGGCACGAAGCTCGGGTGTGGTGAGGGAGGCTGCGGTGCTTGTACGGTTGTCGTACAGAGCAGACATCCACGGACCAGAGAAATTCAGTCAGTCCGTTCTTGATGCAGAGTGTGCTTTCTCTTATCCTTCGACCCCTCCCAGACATATTACCCTGAACGCGTGCCTCGCACCGATAATATCTGTCGATGGGAAACATGTCATCACTGTCGAAGGTGTTGGAAGTCCTGAGAATCCGCATCCCATCCAGGAAAGACTGTGGAAGCTGAGTGGGTCGCAGTGCGGTTTCTGCACCCCTGGTATGTCCCGATAAGCCCGCTTGGTGGTGTATGGCTTGATGCAGTCCACAGGTATTATCATGTCTCTATATGCACTGGTCAGAAATGCGGCATACAAAGGCTCTCTGACTGCCGCGGATATCGAGCTCGATGGCGTACTTGACGGCAACTTGTGCCGTTGTACTGGCTATAAACCCATCCTGGATGCAGCCAAGACATTTGTCGGCGAATACACGGGGAAGTTGAATAGCTCAGCTGGTCAGCGACGTCCATCTCGTTGTGCTCAGTGCCAAACTAATCCGTTCTAGACCCTGTGATACCCATCAACTTCGAATCGGCCAACTTGGACCATTCGGATTGCTGCACGAATCCTGGACCGTCAGATGCCACAGCTGTGGGTTGTGGGCGAGCGGATTGCTGCCAGCTCACCGGCGACGCATCTGCCGAAGCAGCAACCTCGCCCAAGTTTCCCCGATTCAAGCTCAAGCCTTACAAAGTTGGGACGGAGCTCATCTTTCCTCCTTCCCTGGCCAAGACCGTCGCATCCCCGCTTGCGTTCGGCTCCGGCTCGCGAAAGTGGCTGCGCCCGACGACGCTGGCAGAGCTTCTGGCCATCAAGGCTCAGTATCCAGATGCCAGGCTCGTTGGCGGATCATCTGAGATCCAGATCGAAGTCAAGCTGAAAGCGGCGGCGTACCCTGTATCGGTGTACGTCTCCGACATCGTGGAACTCCAGGCCCCAGCAGTCATCAACGCGCAAGGAAACTTTGAATTCGGCGCGAACTTGTCTTTGGCTGAGCTAGAAGTTGCGTGTAAGCGACTATGCGGCGAATTGGATTCTGGATTACAAGGGCCGATTGAAGCAATCAAGACCCAGCTGCGGTACTTTGCGGGACTGCAGATCCGCAATGCGGCTTCGGTGGGTGGCAATATCGCCACTGCGAGTCCCATCTCGGATTTGAATCCAGTGTGGGTTGCGACGGAGTCGTATGTCATCGCTGCCAGTCCTGATAACGAGGCGTTGGAGCTGCCACTGTCCACCTTCTTCACTGGGTACCGTAGGACGATGCTGCCTCGTGACGGGGTTTTGGTGAAGGTGGTCGTTCCGTTGAACAAGTCGAGTGATATTGAGGTTGTGAGAGCTTACAAGCAGGTCAGATATCCTCATCGGAGGCTACCTCTTGTGGATTCTGAATGTTGCTTTAGGCCAAGCGGCGAGACGACGATATCGCTATTGTCACTGCGTGCATGGTCATGCGTGTGTCGTCTGGCACCATAACCCACGCTCGACTGGCTTATGGTGGAATGGCGTGCGTCTCGCATCTGCTTAATTTTGAATTCCAACTGAATCCCCCTTCCAGACCCACCGTGGTTTCCGCGCTCAAGACACAAGAGTATCTCGTCGGCAAAGCATTTTCGCAAGAGACTTTCGAGGCTGCACTCGACATCTTGAGCAACGAAATGCACCTTCCGTTCGACGTCCCTGGCGGAATGGCTTCCTATCGAAAGACGCTCGCACTCAGTTTCTTCTTCAAGTTCTGGACCTCCGTCGGAGAACAAACGAATGTGTCGGCGGCTTCGGATCCGGACATCACATCGCTCATCCATCGCCAACTGAGCTCAGGACGACACGACAACAGCGATCCGTACGCACAAGAAGTTGTCGGGAAGCAGGAACCGCATATGTCGGGTCTCTTGCAAGCGACGGGCGCGGCGGTCTATGTCGACGACATGCCGAAAGTGGGCAACGAGCTATACGGGGGACTGGTTTTGTCTAGTCGGGCACATGCGAAGATCATCTCGGTCGATGCCAGTGCAGCATTGGAGATGGAGGGTGTCGTGAGCTGGGTCAGTTATCAAGACCTGCCCAACGAGCGTGCCAATTACTGGGGCGGTGGTCCTGCGCTCGACGAGGTGTTCTTCGCTGTGGACGAAGTGCAGTCACACGGCCAGCCCATTGGAATGATCGTCGCGCAGAGCAAGATCCTCGCTCAGAAGGCCGCCAGAGCTGTCAAGATCGAGTACGAGGACCTTCCCAGGATACTGACCATCGAGGAGGCGCTCGAGCAAGGCTCCTTCATTCCTGGATACGACAGGTTCATCCGCCGAGGACAGCCGGTGGAAGAATCGCTTGCCAAGTGCGATCATGTCCTCGAAGGAAGCACCCGTCTCGGTGGGCAGGAACACTTTTACCTCGAGACCACGGCCGTGCTCGTCGTCCCGAAACTGGAGAGCGGGGAGATGGATGTCTACTTGTCGACCCAGAATCTGGCGGGCGCTCAGCGCTGGGTGGCCTCGGCCACAGGCGTGCCGCGGAACCGGATCGTCGCACATGCAAAGCGACTGGGTGGTGGATTCGGCGGGAAGGAGACCCGCACCTCGCACATAGCCGCTATCACTGCGGTCGCTGCCAAGAAGCTCCGTCGTCCTGTTCGCATTATGCTCGACCGGCAAGAGGATATCATGACCTCGGGGCAACGCCATCCCTGTCTCTCGAAGTGGAAGGTTGGATTCTCCAAAGAGGGCAAGCTGCAGGCATTGTCCGCTGAGTGCATCTCTTTGCTGTTTTTGTGTTGTTCGTGTTCGTTGACGCGCGGACAGCTTTTGGGTCAACGCTGGCCACTCGAGTGACATCAGCGGGGGTGTCTGTGATCGAGCCCTGGCGCATCTGGAGAATTGGTGCGTCTCGCATCAGATAGTTCGACTGCGAGTCTGCTGATCCGTTTTATCAAGCTACTACATTCCTGACGTCGATGTCCGCGGAAAGTTGTGTAAAACAAACACAGTAAGCAGCGCGTTCAGCGCGTATAGGTCGCTCTGAGTAGGATCTTCTAGGTGTCCAATACGGCTTTCCGTGGGTTTGGCGGACCTCAGTGAGTTGATCTTGTAACTCCCAAACGCACATTGACGACGATCTACAGAGGGATGCTGGTGGCAGAGCACTACATCGAGGTGAGAGAGTGCTTGTGAGCCACCGTCACGGACGCTGAGCTATCCTAGGCAATCGCTGACAAACTCAATCTGGACGTCGATCATGTGCGACAAGTGCGTTGCCTGTTGTGTCGCGCATGAGTGTAGATCCCTTAATCCCCCATAGATCAACCTGTATAAAGAAGCCGAGAAGACTCCATACCACCAGAAGGTGCTTGACTGGCACGTGCCGCGTATGCTGGGAGATTGCAAGCGAGAGAGTCGCTACGAAGAGCGAAAAGCTGCGGTGGACAAGTTCAATGCTGAGCACAAGTGGAGGAAGCGGGGGATCGTTCTGGTGCCGACGAAGTTTGGGGTTGGGTGGCTTTTCTTCTTTCCGGTGCTCGAGTTGACCTAGATCTCAGCTTGCTTTCGGTGTCCAAGCGATGAACCAGGGATCAGCGCTGGTCCATGTTTATACTGACGGGAGCGTGCTGGTCGCTCATGGGGGTGTCGAGGTATCATATCTGCTATCCACTGCACGAGATTCCTATCTGACACGATACCACCAGATGGGCCAGGGACTGTACACCAAGTGCTGTCAAATCGCAGCTCAGGAACTGCGTGTCCCGCTCACGGATGTGTTTACGTCCGAATCGGCCACAAGCACGGTCCCGAATACTGTTCCGACCGCAGCATCCGCTGGCAGCGAGTGCGTGTGTCTTGGCTGATACCACGCCCTATCTGACCTCAATGCAGCTTGAACGGTTATGCTGTGTACAACGCCTGCGCAGAGATCAACCGACGTATTGAGCCGTATCGCCAGAAACTCGGGCCGGATGCTAGTCTGGCGGCGCTGGCCAACGCGGCATGGGGGGACCGAGTGTCATTGAGCGCGACGGGGCACCATTCGACGCCCGATCTGGGATACGAGTGGAAGTGCGTTCTTGGGTTGTTTGCTGAATGATGTGGTGGCCTGATTCGCTCCAGCAACCCGAATGAGACGGGGAATCTGTTCCACTACTTTACGCAGGGTGTCTGTGCGACGGAGGTTGAGGTGGACACGCTCACTGGAGATCACACGGTCTTGCGGGTTGACATTAACATGGATGTGGGAAAGAGTGCGTCTATTCCCGCTACCTCTTCCATTCATCAGCTTGATATTCGGGCAGGCTTGAACCCGGCGATCGACTACGGTCAGATGTAAGTCCCGTCGATCTCGTCTCTCTATCTACTCCGATATCTAATACCTTCTCCAGCGAAGGCGCCTTCATCCAGGGCCAAGGGCTGTGCACGATCGAGGAGTCTCTCTGGCTCAACTCGGGCGCCATATTCACCACTGGTCCCGGCGCGTACAAGATCCCCGGGTTCTCGGACATCCCGCAGACGTTCAACGTGTCGCTCCTGAAAGACGCAGAGTGGCCGAACCTCGGGTCGATCAAGGCCAGCAAGGGCGTCGGCGAGCCCCCGCTGTTCCTCGGGTGCTCCGTTGCGCTGGCGATCCGTGCGGCGCTCAAGTCGGCTCGAGCGGATGCGGGCGTGGCGGAGATGCAGGAGTTCCGGCTGCCGATGACCAGCGAGCGCATCAGGATGGCGTGCGCGGACTTTTTGGTGAAGAAGGGGAGTGTGCGGCAGGAGGAAGGGCAGAAGGGGTTCTTTGTACACATCTAGTTGTATTTTCTTTTCGTCTGATCTCTTGGAAGAAACGGCTCATGCTATCCTCATTATCATGTCTACCATCCCATGTAATATAATGATTTGCAGCGTAGACGTTCTCATTCTGTCGAAGAGATGCATTCAGATCCGAGACCTCTGCATGCGATCGCCTTTGTTGTGGCACAAAAGAATCCCAGCGCCAATTCTCTGCCGGACTGCGATAGACTATCTACGGCGACTGAATCTCTCACCACTTCGCCAGTTCTGGGCACCGCTCTGCATGCGACCTGCTACAGTTTCTCTGCCCACCGCAAGTGAATCGCTCACAGCTTCGCCAATTCTAGGTGCTGCTCTTCCGGTGCTCTGAACGCGGTCAGTCCCGCAACGAACTTGTCCCACTCCTCCTGCGACTGGATCGGCGCAGTGACATACGGCGTCGCTCCGGACGCATCCACCCACTCCCCAAGCTTCGGCAACGCCCGCGCGATCGCCGTCTCCTCTCTACAAATGAGCTCGCTTTGCCGCATATGCATATTCTCGATGTACCACCCCTCGTCGCGCCGCATCGAAGTCACCAGGAACAGCTCCACCATCTCCGCGGCCAGGCCCGCTCTCACGGCGGCGTCGAAGGCCATCTGCAATCCGAGCGCCTCGACGATAAGCGTACAGTGCGGGATGATCTTGGAGTTGAAGGAGTCGGAGCGGTGCGAGTCGAGCGATTGCAGGGTCGCGCGGAAGGTGGCGAGCAGGGATTGGGCGTGGCGAGACAGTGGGCTGTCGACGGTGGGCCAGAGGTCGTCCAGCGAATAACGCTCCAGAAGCAGTTCGGTAGCGAGCCCTGGAAGCAGATGGTCAATGCAATATCCCTCTCGAGTGGTCCAAACGCACGAATAGCCAGCACCAGCATGTCTCCTTCTGCGATCGCGATCCCTCGTGCGTCAGACTGCAGATGATCAGAAGACGGTCTACGACATGCCCGTGAATCATACTACTTACCTGCATCTCGCATATACGATTAACCCCGAAGAGACCCCGCGCGCCACACCTCTCCGACAGCGACAACGCGCCCTCCTGTGTAAACTGCATCGCCACGAGCTTGAAGCACGCCGCCATCCCATGCCGCACGCGAAAGTCCACCGCGGCGTCCCGGAAGACGGGCACCGCTGCGCGGTAGAACGCGCGCAGCACGAACGACTGGGCAAGCGCGGTCAGGATCGGCCTGTGCTGGGTCGGAAAACGCAAGATGGATGAAGATTCGTTGACGACACGACGGCTGCTGTATGCTGCCACGAGACAGGCTGAGTGCGCGAGGATCGGGATGCTCGTCGCTGACAAGGCCAAAGAGCCCACCGCGACTCGCCATAGCGACAGGAGAAAGTCAATACGTCGTTGGGTCGGGTCGGTGATCGCGTCCGGTGGATCCCGCTGCAAGAGCGCAGTGGCCGGGAGAGCGACGCCGCGAAACGAGGTGATCGAATGATTCACGGGCGCAGAGCCCCCACGGTAGGGAAGCAATCTTTGGCCGGGTGAGAGACGCGAAAGAGCGTTGAGAGAGGGACTTGCTTGATATGAACCCCAGGTTTCATTGTTTGACCGTCGTGGAGCGGCACGAGAAAAGGCTTGATCCCCAAGTTGACTTCATTTTTGATGAGCCGGGCCATGACAATAGCTACGCAAGGAATCCCGAATGGAGCGGTTGGCGGCATGAATCTGTGACAGTACTCAGCGTTCGAATAAAATTCGAGTCGACATGGCATACTTGGCTGCCCCAGGGTGTGGTGTGTTCAAGATGAAGCCACGATCGTCGTCTAGAGACGTGGCTGTAGTCTCGAGGTTTACCGCATCTAATCCATGGTCTACTTCGGTCAGACAGAACTGGCCACTGGAAGATTGTATGAGTGATCAGCCAGTCGTCCTGGAAGAATGACCACGACGTACGATATCTGATATTTCAGCAACCCGTGCAAGAGCCCACTGTCCACGAGATCCCTTCTCTCCCCGACCCGATCCAGGATTGTTCCGAGTACCAGGTTCCACTGAATGGATAGCAAAGTGGTCGCCGCGCCATCGCTGCATACGATAGGGTCACAGTGAAAATTCCAGAATGGAAAGGTCGCGTTCTTGATATCGTCGAGGGTGATGGCTGCGGACGGGCGTGAGCGGAATGGCAAATTCGCATGTGAAGGCAACTTTACGATATGTAGCAGCAATCTCCCGAGCCCTAGCTAAGGCGAGATGGACTCGTTCATCGGGCAGCACGTTGTGGGCAGTGGAACGAAAGAGGTCTGAGTCCAGCAAGTGCGGAACGAGACCTGTCCCCAGCGACATATCCACACTCAAGACCACGAGAGGACATGCGCATGCGCTTGGCTTTTATCCGACTTCATAGCGGTCTGTTTTTACCCAGGAATCCGACGTCGTGCGCAATCTCGACGGGTGGAATGTTGGGTGACAGACACGTGTTGCGCGCAAGGGTACCGGACAGATCCGGAAAGCCTTTGGACTCGAGGGCATGAGAGGTTAATTTGAGTCCTGTTCAACGCTTGATCGCTGGTGCCAGCCACATCACCCCCCGACTCGGACTCGATGTGGTTTGACCCAAGAAGGAGCTGTGCTGAACTGTGACAATCATCATGCACTGTGACTGATCGCGCCGCAACACCCACGACCATTGCCTGTCCTCTCACCAACACCGATGATCATCTACTGAAGCTCTTTAGTGCCGCTCAGATAGGACGAATCTTCAGGCGATTGAAAAATCTCCATACCTGGAAGCAATCTGTGGCGCTTCAGCCAGTGCATGTCGAAATCAGCATCAGGCAAAGCGCGCGTGAGCACCACCAGTCTGAAAGGGGCCCCCGAATCCAAAAATTGCGGTGCGAGTGCAGTTTGCGATGCAGATACCGATAACCATCCTTGGGCGGAGGCACGATGCGGCAGAATATCAAGCTGTTTGGAGACCATCTGTAGACGCTTCATCCCCCAAGCGACGAGTGGCTGAGAAACGCCACCTGCTGCGCCCGTGGTTGCCCGAGCTCCACGTCCTGCCAACATTGCCCGCTCCGCCTCATAATAGGCGAACGGCGCTCTCCAATCGACCGCCTTCGCACGACCCAAAACAAATAGGAACTTCATCGTATCGAGTGCGCCGCAGATGGAGGCTGGGAGGTTCCTACAGAGATGGGTCCGTGGTCGTTTCTCTCGAGTAAGATGCGCCCAGGCGGTGTCGATCGGCGAGATAGATTGCCACATGAGATGACGAATAGATGGTGTTCACCTTCGCCCGCGCGTGCAAAAGCTCCCACCGGGGCAGCCCACGCACTGGGTGTTCCGCAAATCACGTCTGGTTTCCACAACTCAGTCTTGAATCTTTTCAATCCAGAAAACTGTTCTTTTTTGCGATATGATGTATACATTGAATTTGTACTAAGTAGTAGATGCTGCCCGTTCAGTTGACCTTGATGACGACTTTACCGACATGCGCCTGTGACTCCAGGTAGGCATAGGCAGCCTTGGCATCCTCGAACGGGAACACCTTGTCGACCACGGGGCGCGTGACGGCCTGATTCACGGCCATGAGTCTGTTCATGTCCGCAAATCTGTCGAGTTTGAGCGCTAAATCCGATGAAAGCCACTCAGATCACTTACTGCTGGACCGAGCCGACGTACAGTCCTCTGATCTTGAGGGACTTCCAGATGAACAGCGCGATCAGATCCGGGGGAGGCGTGTTGCCGCCGACGAAACCGACGATGCTGATAGAGCCACCCATGCGGATCGAGTTGACTGATTGCATGAGGGTTCCGTTGCCTCCCACCTGCGGTATGTCAGCTCAGAAGCTGCAGCAGACACAGATCACTGTGGCGCACCTCGATGACATGGTCAACACCCACTCCATTGGTGAGCCTGAGCACCTCCTCGTCCCATTTGGTGTTCGTCTTGTAGTTGATGACATGGTGGGCTCCCAGCTTGGTTGCAACTTTGAGCTTCTCATCAGAGGAAGATGTCACGATGACTGTCGCGCCCGAGGCCAGAGCAAATTGGAGACCGAAGCTGTGAAGGGTGTTATACTGGAATGATCATACATGACATCGGAACGCATACATCGAAACACCACCTGTACCGAGGATGAGAACAGTGTCGCCCGCTTTGAGAGGCTCGTAGCCGGCAATGAGAGCATTGTAAGCCGTGAGAGCAGCACATCTACCGGAAAATGAGAACCCATTATCAACCATCAGCGTCGATACTTACGGCAAAGTCGATGCTTCCTCGTATGTCAAGTGATCGGCGATTTTGACCAAAGACTATGGGACAACGCTGAATGATCTGCATCGGAGACAAGGGCCGCACACACCGAAGCGGGGTAAGTCCGGTACTCCGTCAACGTTCCATCCACCGCTCCACCCAGTGCGGTCGCAGCAATCGCCGGGGTCGTGTGGTCCCCATGCAGCTTCTCCAGCATGAAGTTCGGGCACACGCGGTCGCCGACTTTCCAGCCCTTCACGTCTTCCCCGATCGCCACAATCTCACCCGCGACATCGGAGCAGGGGATTAGGTTCGCGGGCATACTGCAACATTGGAGTGAGGCTCGGAGTGGGTGTGGAAAGACATGTGACGCACTCGCCACCAGGGTATCTGTCAGTCGCGACGAGCAGGTCGCGGTACTTGAGGAGAATCCATTAGATCTGAGATGGGAAGAGGGAGGCGATCGCATACCTGCAGTGACACTGCATGCGCCTTGAGTAGGACTTCGTTGGGCTTTGGCTTGGGCACCGTCACGTCGGTGAGTACGAGGTTGTTGTAGGACCCAAGCTGTGATAGAATAAGGACGATTGCGCCAGATGTCAAATAGACATACCGTGGGCAGAATGTACTTGCGTGCGGTGGTAGGGATAGACATCTCGTTTGAGTGGATTCATCGAGACGATGAGGTACAGTATATAAGGACACCACAGAACGATGATTCAGCCCTGATTCAGCCGATGATTCATCCCATTAGAAACTGCGCGATGAGACCGAAGATGCGTGAAGGGAATGACGCACGGGTCCACCTTTTCCCTTAACCGTCAGCCAATAAGAACAGGAATTTCCAAACTTGGGAATAAGCGGCCGCCGAGATCCGGGTCGTATAAAGCCTAGCCGGTGCAGTATTCGAAGGCGGAGCGTCATTCACGTTGATTTCACCACCTGCGACGTTTCGGCCTCATTTGTGGAAGAAATGGAAGAACATCATCAGGTGTGACGTCACGCGACAGTCCAGAGCTGCGACCACTTGGAACATTTTGATCCGAAGAAGTCCGCGACTACATCCTCTTCTCAACTGGATCCCAGTTCATCGTCGTCTGGACCTCTAAATCACGCAGCCGGATTGACCAGGGAACTTGAAACTTGAAGGCTGAAACTCAATTTGAAAATGGCATACGCATATCACTTACAGCAATTCAACGTCCTCTGCATGCGGGTCGTTGCCCAAGTTTAGAATGATCACTACTGACCGGCTGCTCAGTTCTCGAGTCGTTCATCCGTTCATCCACTCATCAAGCCTGAGATACTCTGATCGATCGGCGTTTCGAGCAGTGTCAATAAAATCCAGCCAAGTCTCAAACAGCTCAAGCGGATCATAAAACCAGTGCGTTTGCGACGAACTGGATGACAGTCACCAGGCAAGGTGCCTTTGGAGCAGCGTGCAGTATCTCAGAACGAGCAACATGCCCTAGGGTCTGAAATGCGAATTACATTGAAATCAGTGTCCATCAGTTGTTTACAAGCCCAGACGGCCGAGATGCACAGTTGCATGAATGTCCAATGAACGAGCTCAGAAATGAGCAGCCGCATTACATAGTGTACACAGGGAACGGGTATTATATCATGACGAGGTAGTTTGAGGGCACGACTGGAGAAGAAGGAGCGCGTCAGCAATCGGCTTGAGAGAGAGGACGCCAAGACCCACTTCCATACGATCCATCCGCCTTTCTCGCTTGCCACCATTTCCCTTCCTGGTCTTCGATCTCCAGGATCTCGCCTTTCTTGAAAGACAGCTCGTTCGGATCGTCCAGCGACCCAGTGTCTGTGAGAGCGATCAGCCACTGGAAGCTCCGGTCTGAGACGAGACGCGCACGCACAAGAATGCAAAGCTCTGGCTTTCGGGAATGTTTCAGACGGTGCCGGTGAAGGTTCAGACAACACCGGGGTTGGCAGAGCCAGCGGCGTTGGACTAGACGCGCGGGTGACCATCCCTGCCTCGATATCGGCAGCTCCATTTCCATACGGCAGCGTTGGAACAGGGGGGATGATCGGCGAAGCGGGAAGGGGGATGCCAGCGGGCGTCGGTGAGGGCGACCCATACGCCTCTTTTTCCTTGAACGACACGGAGGCGCTCTTCCTGTTCATGCTCGACGCGACCGACTTGCTCGTGCTTTTGCGCGAGAGCCGGTGGTTGCTCGGTGGCGGGGTCACGCGCCTGACGTCGATAGCCCCGTTGAGGTCGGTCGTGATGACATCGTCAGAGGAAACACCTGCCCCGAGGCGATACTTGGCTTTGCTGCTTGCCCGAGAGCCGTGTCGAGAAAGCGAGGGCGTGTGCATCCGATTGGTAACGGCCGTCCGACCACGGGGAGGAGCGATGGGCGCAGCGCCCACCAAGGTGAACAATCTCATCCCCACCGAGTCTTCGTCGGACGAGAAGTACAAGGCCCACAGCAGATCGACCACCGCGAGGATAAGGTACCCGAACCCCATGCCCACAAGCGCCCCCTCCGGATTCTGTCGTGGAGTGAAGGGCGGGAAGAACCCGGCTTGCACGCCCTGAACGGCGAAGATGGTAGCCATGACGCTGAACGCGGTCAGTTGGATGCGAGAGGGGTGGAGCGAGTCCGTCGTGATAGCGAGCAGGACGCCGATGTTGAGAGCGGCTTGGAGGAATATGGCGAACCACAGAGATCCAACCGATCTGTTCCCGACTACAGATTATGAGGAGCGCGCGCGAAGAAGTGTATGAGAGGGCGCACATTGTCCAGTCGCTACGGCTTGGAAGATAAACGCGAGAAACCATCCGAGCTTGAGCGCGGATGAGAGCGTTGCCATGCGCAGCGTATCGAGGAAACGCACCGTAGCGAGTAGCTGAGTTGCCAGAAAGAATGGGTAATTTCGAAACGGTCCAAAGTCCATTTGCGACATGAGGAGATACGTCTACAGAGATAAGGAAGGAAAAGAAATATCCAGTGAGGTCTACGAGACAGTGAAGAAGAAAGTCAAGCAGCCCGCGCGAGAATAAGAGCAGGACAAAAGGGCGCTGGAAGAAAAGAAAGACAAAGGAATGGAAGGTACCAGCCGCCTCACTTGCCCAGAATCTCAGACTCTTGAACAGCACAGATGATTGTTGCTACGCGCTGTCGTGAGAGTCCTACAACCATCGACGAGGCGGTGGATCGGGATATGCTGAGCATCACTGTTGACGAACACGCTTGTGCTAGGTTACTTGGAAATGGCGATGTGGACGTCGATCTGAATATCAAGCGTACCAGCATCCACCGTCAGTCTCCAGACGGAAAAGCTGGTGTGGCGCGGCTCAGGGAAAGTGAGACGTCGGTTCAGGTTGTAAATGATGGACAACTGTAGAGAAGCTAAGAGAACGGATAGGGATCCCCGATCAGACAGATCACTGATCAGATGACTGGTTGCACCATCCCGAGCTATGCAGTCGCAAGTAGTTGGCAGACTATGTTAACGAAAACGATTATACATGCAAAATGGATAGTCCGATTCATTATGAACTCGACGACGGGCCCATCCTACTAATATCCGTCCTGCGCGCGCGGACTGGGGGCAGATTTGAATTGGAGTGCCATGCGGCGACAGCCGACGTTGCAGTCCCGGGTGAACTCATCAACGCCGGGGCCTTGTCCCACTCCAACAGCCCTCCAAGCGGGATGTGTTGCACCACAACGCGTTTGCCCAGAACCTCCGCCTGGAACCCACGGTCAGACACTCAGGCAGAGATTGCTTCCAGTTGACAGGCCAACCTCGTACATCTTGAACAGCCCAGAGTTTACTTTGGCCCAATTGGGCACGCCAGTGGCAATGGAGTGGAGCTGAGACGAATGCTCGTGGAAGGGGCCGCGTTTGACTTGATGAATCCGCATGATCGACATGAAATACAGGTTGCTCTCACGCAGTGGAGGATGCAACACGGCAGATACGGGAACTGCTGTCTGATCTTCCGGAAGGGTCAGCCAGAATCAGAGTCAGACTGGCAACGACACTCACCGCGCAACTGACCGCTCCCAAATATGTAGCTCAAAAAAGACGAGTCGTCCAAACCCCAGACACCGTGGCTCCCCGCAGGCTCTAGCCTATAAACGTCCTGCAGCCTCCACGTAAGGCGAAGATAGCGAGGAAACACGACGAGGACGACGCTTCGTTCTTCCTCGGGAATGGGATCGAGGAAGCGGATGAGGGTGAGGCAAAGTAGGAAGAGTGCGAACGAGGCCTCGTGCCCAGTCCCGTAGTCCATGCGGCCAAAGGAACCGAATGAAGTGAGGAGATACGGTTTGAGCTGGGGCACCACCGCGGCGAATTCGGTACGGAGAAGGTCGCGCAACAGCATGTCGCTCTCCTACAGAAAGTGAGTTGGAACAGATTGAATCCAGAGGACACACCTCTTCCAAACGCTTACCCCATGTCCGAAACGCAAGATTTCCGAATCTCTGGGGCGATGCAGAAGGCGGGATCTCGTCAATCCACCTATCGAGTGCATCCAGCAGCGAGACGATCCTGGTCACCGGCTGCAGTGAATATAGTCGTGACGCATCCCGACAGTGTTCCAGGAACGGACCTCACTTGTTGCAGCAGGGGAATCTGGAATGTCCACGCCCACGACCGATTCGTTCAAGCGTCGCAGAAAGATGGCGTAGTCGCGATATGCACAAGACTGGCGCCAGGTCTCCATGTCTTCATCAGTGCGTATCTTCGATTCTGGAGTGGCGAGGCGGGGGATTTCTGCAAGATCTATCTTGCGCAAAGTGGGGGGCGTCATGGAGGCTGTTAACAACAGATATTAAGTGCACAGCCACATGGGACTGGATCTAATCTAATCTGAGATTTCCCAATTAATTATTGAAAACTACGATCATGTAAAGAACGTCAGGTTCATCGAGCCAGCTTGCTACTTTCTCGCATTCGCTTCCCATTAAACCAGAGGTATATAGGGAAAGGGATGCCTAGCACGATAGCCAACCCAGCAAGAAGCGAATTTCCACCCCCTTGGCCTAGCGCATTGTACATCTGCTGGCCAAACAGGGGAAAGATGAATCCGAAGAGTGACCGGAAGACCTGCGGATCAGGATGAGGGAGAGGTAGATGCGGCCAGGACAACTCCCACGCACCGAGGCCGCAGAAAGAGCACTGGCTGCATACGAGAAAGTGTCGACGAGGTACAGCTGGATGGGAAGACTGGAAGACAAATCAGTACCGACACCATGCCATAACGAGGTGTGTGCCCACTATGTTGACATCATCCCTGATTCACGCTCCGTCAACGCGACTTCCAGACAATCAAATCAAGATCACACACCAAATCCGAAGATTCCTGCGACACGTTGAGATCAGGTCGCCCTCGAGAAGCAACAACATGACGCACCGGAGCCGATGATGGGCATGATCCAATGGATCTTCGCTTGCGCTGACCAACCATACCAGCTGCACTCTTCCGTTACGAAAGTACGACAGAGCAGAAGGCCAACTTACAACAAACCAATGGGAACGACGATCGAGCCAAAAACTAGCCCTGGAATACGCATTTCAGGCTCCCCAACTCCACCGTTCTTCTCGGAAAGCTTGCGACAAGTCAGTGCCGGTGCCACTGTCTTGATTCTTTCCACACCTTGATGTAGATCTCGTTTCCATACTTGGCGCTGAACAAAGTTGCGGAGAGGAAACCGACGCCGAGGCCGATGTAAGTCAGTCCGTTCGTGCCAGTGTTGAAGCCGTAGGTGTCAGTGAAAAGATCTGCAGCGACCAGATGGGACAACGGTGGCAAACGAAGCCGGCTAGAACTCACTGCTGAAGACGGTAAACATGAGGTAGTCTAGAGAACGGTCAGCGAAGCGCCGCGGATTGGGGCGATTAACATACAGATGCCATACATGCTGCGGAACTGCTCAGAAAGAAGCACTAGATAGAGCAAGGAGACTCACAAAGCCATGTAAAGACTGAGCAGGAAGCAGATCATGCTGCAGAACAGCATGATCGCCGGCCGCGAGACGTTGATCCACAGATAGTGCGCCAAGCTCGTATGTTCCTGAGTCAAAGCTGGGTGTGCCGCTGCGGCCTTCTCAGGATCGGGCGACTGCTTCGCCAACTTCAGACGGATGTACGGCGAGTACGTTTCCTGCAGGATAGGAATGCCCGTGATGGCAGCCAAAGCTTGGAGCCCCGCCAGAAGAACGAACACGTATTTGACTCCGATGGTCTCCGTAATGAATCCTATGCAAGATGGTCGGTCCGGCTATGCTCGGTGAGGAGAAATCATGCGAACCCCCAGCAATCGGCCCCACCACTAGAAGCCATGTTAGACTAGAGTGTGAACAGCAGATGAGCACATACCGGGTCCAATGAGTGGTCCCAAACTGTATATTGCCATAGCTGCTGCCCTGTCCCGTTCAGAGAATAGATCGCTGATGACACCACCTCCACATGCTACTGGTGCGCTTCCCGTGAAGCCAACTGAAACAAGAGATCAGTGGAGAGCAAAGAATGCACAACCGAAAGTTACTTGCGTAAAAATCGAAACACGAGCAGAGCCGCCAGGTTCGGAGCAAACGCACACCCGAGACTGAACGCGATGGAGAGCACGTTCATGATATTTAGCACCTGGGAGCAATTCAGCCCCAAGCGCGAAAGCGTATTGGTTGGTATTCACCCCTCGTCTGCAACGCATTAAGTATTCATCTGGCGGCAAGGAACAGACTAGACATACCGTCCGTACATCTCCTGCAGAGCCCGCTGCGTCAGATCGGCATCTAAAAAACAAACGGACAACGCGCACCGAGAGGGGAGCAAATAATAGCGGCTTGGATATGGTCAGATGGACGGATGCCACGGTGGCCGGAACCGACGCACCCCGATGGCGAAGGAGATCAGGAAGATTGAGAGTGTCATGGACAGGATCGTCTCGTTCGTGATGTGATACTTTACCCCAATCTGGGGTAGCCCGGGGGCCATGATGCTGGACGAGAGAGGGCTGACAAATGTGTAGAACGAGACCTGCCCGCGCGTGAGACGCGTCGATGAGGGAAACTATGATCGTGCGCACCACGGCGGTCGTCACCCATTTCTTGGTGGATGTCCAATTCCGCGGATTCCGCTCGTCATCCTGCCAGTCGTCCTCGAGGTTCTCGATGATCTCCTCCTTCTTGTCTTCAGGGATCGCGGAGTTGCCGTGCCCGTTGGCTGTCGGGACCTCAGCGGCGGCGGACTTGTCCACGTCCGTCACCGACAGCCCATCGTGTGCCGGAACGTGCGTGAGGGAGCTGCTGCGCGACGCCATGTTGTACCTGGGTGAGAAGGTCCCTGCAGACCAGGTTCTTATACTTAACGGCCCGAGGCATTGAAGTTGAAGCGAGAGAATCGAAGACGGTCAGCACGATTTGATCAGCGCCCGTTCGTCGCGCGACTGGTCCAGTGGCTGTGCTCATTTATCTCACCGCTCAAACCCGTTTTTCGCAAGATGAAGTCTGCACCACCGTTCTATGCCGCCTCGAGGTGAGTGAAAACTGACGTATAGACTGCAAGGAACAGCTCCCGTGGACATCCACCAACTGGAAGACCAGGGTCCGCGTCTGGCTGTTTTACGCGATCGATCATAGGCCCCGGCGGATGCCCGCTTCCCCATGGCAAAGGAACACATCCGACGGATGAGGGCTCGGAACTCAAAAGCTGCTGCAGCCTTCGCAGTCTGCGCGTTGATCTGCGCAACAAGCCTTTGTAAAAACTTTTCGCGTGTCCCGCGGTAAGCGCAATGCGGGTCACTTCCGAATACTGATACCAATATTTGAGAAGCGAAGAGACCGACATGTGGTGGTGCTGAGAGGTGCATCGTGGGTCATAAGTAGGTGCTTACAGACTCGACTTCGCTATGCAAATGCACGTCATGATTTACCGCAGCGCCTACCGTGAGCAGCCCCACCCCTGACTCGGCTCTTTAATTCGACGAAAGATAACCTTCCACGCGCTCTATCAAATCCGCCTTCTTCCCGGAAGAAGCCAGCGCCTTGCTCTTGAGGAAATTCTGGACCCGAGTCAGTGACAAGTGGCGGATGACAGTCGACACAAACCTTCAGGTCATCTACCCTGAGCTACAAAAGAAACCGTCAGCGACTCTTGCTTTTGCCACATAAGCACCTACCTTCATCAGCGTTCCCTCGGCATGTCGTGCTCGGATCTCGGCGTCGCCAGCATCATCCTGTCTATGGTCAGTGTCAACGCACGAACGCATCAATCATCAACGCGCCATCTCATCAGCCTTGCGTTTCGTCGCCTTGTCTGCTTTCGGCGCCTTCGCGGCAGCCTTGGCTGGGATCAGTGAAGACGCCTGGACTGTTGGGTCATTGGCAACGACACTCTTCCAGGCCTCGATAAGCTTCCCAGCACGCTGTCGTCGCTCAGCAATAATGCGGCCAGGGATGTGGGCACATGCCGAACCTTATGTATCATGTCATGATTGGGATTCGTCAGATTCTCGAACGTGTCCGGATCAAAGTCTTCATGCAATGCCACGGCTTGCAGCTGGGCGTTATGGAACGCCAAGGCTGGGCAGAATCAATCCCCCGTTGGCCGACGCTGAATGACAGGACACAGACCGGGATTCGGATAAGAGTCAGGAGGGTATCCACCATTTTTCACTGTCAATTTGTCGATCCACGCCCGAGCTGCGTTTTGTGCATCTTCAGAAGCTGTTTCGGTTGTAAGGCACCGTTCCATCTCGAAGAACAGATATTCCCACCATGCCACTCTGCGGTATCGACCGGTGCCTCGCGAATATCGTCTGCGAAAGGTAGTGGGATCAAATGAAAGCCAGCAGGATCCTTCCATTCTTCGTCCTCCTTGCTTTCTGCCTGGGGTAGCAAGGCGCAGAAGGTAGGGGATGAATTCCGCCTGGTCAGAGACAGCACCAGCCCAATCTTGTTCTTCTTGATCATAGACTTGAGCATGGCATTGAACGTCCTTTTGCTACCAGAATAAGCCTGCATACATCATACATCAGCGACGAGCACACGGCACGGGAGATGCGCACCATCTCGTCTGGTTGAATGAAGAGGGAATGCTTGATGTTGTCCTCGAACCTAAGCTCGCTGCGATCCTTGAATCCGAGCAGCTTCATGCCAGGCTCCAAACCCAGCGTTCGGAATGACTGGATGTCTTCTGCACTGTAGAATGGCTGTCCTCATTGAGCCAACGAGTCTTGTTACTGCAAGCAAGAAGACACACCCGTTGACCTGCTTTCACCGTCTTCGTCGCCTCGTCGCCACCGACGTCGCCGCCATAAACGATCTTCACTTTGTCAATCTCGTTCTCCAGTGCCTATACAGTTCGATGAGGTTCAATTCCAGAGGCAAAGAGAATGCACTAACCTGGTCCACATATTGCGTGCGGGAAATGGCCACCTCCATGCGGTCACCCAGGTCCACAAAGTACTTGTACTGCCCCTTCTTCTGCTCGGTAACCAAGCCGTAGCTGGCAGTGGATCAGGAACTGAGAGTCGCAAGCAGAACGGCGTACCCCTTGACGCCGATAACAAAGCCTTGGGCTATTTGGAAGGGGATGCTGAACTGAGAGCGCTTGGGAATTTCGTGAACGCGCATCTGATCTAGAAGTTCCTCGGCTCGACATATTGAGATGGATTCCGGGAGGATGGTCGGATTGTCAGGATCCATTTCCTCCTCGTCAACCAGACTATCGGGCATCAACACGGACTGAGATGAGGAATGAGCCTAGTACAGATTTATCGTGCAGGATGCTCACCGAGTAGAACTTAGACAAGTCGAAAGGCTTCTCCTTGCTGCTGATGAAGAAGGGTTCCACATTGGCACCCGATTGCGTCAAGTCCTGACACGGACGCTCAAGCAAAGGTTTGTAGCAATAGGGCTGGAACTCACAATCAAAGTGTTCCTGGCTGAGTTGGTGAGTTGTTCTCTCCCCTTCCCCGTATGTGGGTCGTCCTCATCGGTGATCAAGAACACTCGCTTCGAAGCTGTCTTCGGAGCGCTGCGGAGGGGCGTGGGCTAGTTGTATCAGGGATTACACTCTCACTCACCCATCTCGAATGACCCAGTTGCAACTGGTGAAAACGTCACCCATCGGAACTTTCCTGCCGTCCGTGAGCGGAGGGTAAGTTTCCTTAAGCTGCACCGGATTTTCACGGAAGCCTATGCACGTACTGAGTTGACAATCCACGAAAGGAATGATCAGGACGACAAACCTTCGAGGAGCTGTATCAGATCATGTATTCTCTCCACACTGAGTGTTCCGATAGGCTGCGCCAGGTAGCAATTCGCCTTGATCTCGGAGCCCTGGATGCCGCTAGCCTCGTCGGGTTTGCGAGTCTACCAAGTACTTCAGGACACCTTGAGGGGACAGGCAGAGGTTTCGCACCGTGTTAAACAACAGGATGCCCACAGCGTCGTTGGGCCCCACAATGATCTTGCGCTTCTCGAGCTGCAATGCGATGTCGAGTGCGGTATAGACGTGGCAGGTGGGCGCGTCATTCCGGGTCGGGTCGGGATAGAGCGCAAGCATCGACTCGGAGCAGTCGATGCAGAACAGGATCACGTCTCGTTTCGTGTCGAATTGCTGTGTGGGTCGCTGGTAAGTGTAGGATTTTTGCGCATGGCAGTCGGGAGTGGCCCACGGAGAAGTCCTGTAGCTCATCGTCGTCCTCATCTTGTAGTTTGTTCCAGTCTTCGTAGGGTGCCATTTGGGATGAGAGTGAGTAAGAGTGTCGTTGCAGGTGAGAAGGCGGCAGTCAAGGAGAGTCAATCTGGTACAGCCACTGACACGGCGCGATCAGTCACAGTCCATGACCGTGATCGTCACGCTATCTCTCAAATGACCAACTTCATCTAGTGCTGCCGGTGCCCCATATCGGACACCTGCACCACTGAGAGCAGCAGTCGAGAATTCAGGATGGGATCAAACATTCCTCAATGAATTCACGACAATGAATTCAAGAATAGCATCATGGAGCCAACTCTGTTCACGTTTCCTCGAAGCTATCACCCTCGCCCATGTTGATAACGCGTCCATTTCGTTCTGAAACCTCCACTGCGAAGATCCTACGCAAGGTGTGTTTCGGAAGGGTCTGGGAAAGGTCTGGGAAGAGGATGGGTTTGATGGACACCGGGCTCTCAAATAACCAACATTACGAATATCGTCTTTCAGAGACATTCCTTCGAGCACCAAATCCCATATGAAATGCAATCTATGTTCGAGGGAGGTTGGAACTCGTCGGAACTTACTTTGTCATCGTGCAGGTCTCCTACCGCTGTCCTGTATTTCTCACCAGCCACAGATCACTTCTCTATCTGCACAGGGCCTACGCACAATTCTCTGACACATTTTGACGCCGTCCCTTCTTCTACTGCTTTCTTGCAGCGCAATCGACTTAACTTATTTTTTAACCCATGGCAAACAAAATCGACATCCTCCTGATCGCTGCGACGCGTTGCGGTCGGTTCTTTGATCTCGTCGGCAACGAGCCTCTCGATCCTCTCGCACTCTGCCTTTCTCGCAGCGGAGTACAGTCGAAATCGCGTCTTCGGCGGGTCATCCAGCTTACGTTCGACTTCCCGACCCTACACTGACCGATCCCAATCGCGCTGGCTCGCCTAGTCATGTGTGCCCCGCGCGTTCTGTCGCGCAGCGGCGCCAGAGTTTCATGATGCCGATTTGAACACTTGTACGTGACGTGGGATGGAGGCTTGCTCCAAGATCATCGCGATGCTGCCCACACAGGATGGGGCGCTATCACCGCCAGAGAGATGTGCGCAGGGTCTCTATCAAGACTGAACTTCATCTGCGAGATGAGGGTATGTATCACGACCTTTGCAGAAGCGAAACGCTAATAACCAAAATAGACTACACATGTGCGGGCTCCCCCCGGCTCTCCATCGTACATAGGGATCATGCCGAGATCTGGGATATATGGGTTCGAACGGGGTTCCATCTCTTCCCCAGATCTGATCGCACTTCTGATCTCGAAGTGTCGCAAGATCAATACACCTCGGCTCAGTACAGTGGTGAGTTCCCGAGTGGCTTTCACCGGACACCTTCGCTCTCTTCCACTTGCCGACCGTAATGTGCTCTCGGTCTGGGGCTGAATATATTTATTTACTCCAGTGGGAGTCGCAGGCATGTCGACAAGGTCGTAAAAGCAATGTCAAATGAAGGAACATCACCCTCTAGGAATATTACAGTTTATCCATCGTCTTACAAAAGAAACATGTTGGCTTCAGTTGCTTGAAGCCTTGGGAGTTACATTGACAGCTGCTCGGATCAGCCGCATAGATCACGTGTACATATCCGCCAGCAGCGCTCTTGGGTCACTGGTCTCAGTATACCATTTGGCAGTGACCTTCGAAGACAACTCGCCTACTAGTAAAACACAATCGGAGCCGCGTTCTGGGACCCCAAATCCTAGCATTCCCTCTAGTCCTGGACCGTAGCCACTTGTCACCCCAGTCTGATATCTTCGTCGAGCAACTCCGCAGTCCTTTCCTTTCCTCTCTCAATCGCGTCAAGCATCGATTATGCATATGCATGCCATCTACTACCCTCTTTCGACGCGGAATTGACACACTCACCAGGCTGCCCGGTGTAGCAGTACGAACGCGCTCAGTATGTTCCCCATGTGCATGCGCGAGTGGGAACCGAATACTGTCGACAGCACCATCTCATCTGGCCCTCTCCAGACGAGCTGTTTGGCCGATCGGGGACATGCTGACCACCTCCCCGCATGGCACCTCAAGTCACCTACCCCAAGGCATCCTGTTGCGGCGCACCCGAGATGAGATGATTAGACCCTCCATTGACTCGGGGGACTCGGCGTTCGATTGGAGCGGGGGCTGACGGTGGCGGGAGAGATCAAGCGAACACTGAGAGCTGAACAGGGGGCTTGAAGGCGCGAACGGTCACTGGTCGGATCAGGAAGGCATACAATGATAGCGGCCCTCAGCTATTCTCGCCATTCGGTAAGACTGCCTAGGGGATAAAACGTCTCCAGATGGCATTGAAACAAGTTGATGTTCTCTGCCCCCATGCCTGCGGACCACAGCTCGCCGTCGTTCTCTGCCTTGGGAACTGGTCTCGTGCCACAATTGCTGGAATCGGACCTCTTCCGGGCTCCAGCTCATGGGATGCGCCCAGATGAGCGATTTCGGAAAGCAATAGCTAAAGCTCAACTCATCGCCTCTGTTTATCGTACGCTTCACAAACCCAAATCGTTCACAGTCCGACTGACACTGGTGACAGCCATTTCTCTGGACGACATCGAAGACTGCGCGTTCTCTTTCTGGAACTTGCATTGCGACCCAATCCTCTGCGAGGATGGGGCCATGACGACTCTGCTCACTATCCAGTACAATCTCGTGCTTGGAACCATCCTGGACCGAGTCGGAAAGAGGCAGGACCTGGTCGACAGCGGCCTCTTGGATGGGTTGTTGAAGTATAGAATCTCGTAAGTACATCAATCATGTCCGCCACCAATACTTATCTAGAACTGAACCCCCTCCTCCAGGGGCCAGTTTTGCCTGACCGAAGTTGATCACGGACTGGACGCGGCGAACATCGAGACCACGGCGACCTTCTTGGGCAACGACAGAGGATACGTCCTGAGTACACCACACCCAGGTGCAGCAAAGTATGCCGCCAGTCATTTAACGGTGTAGGTATTGAATATTACACAGATACATGCCGCCTACTGCTCCGTTTGGAATCCCCGCCGTGGGCGTCGTGATGGCTCGACTTGTCCGGGACGAGGTCGACCTGGGTGTGAAGCCGTTCCTTGTCCCCATCCACGACGGGACGACTCTAAACCCGGGAATCGTCATCAGGTATGCATCAAACAAGTTGCTGATTTTCTAATTCATTCATGCCTCGAAGGATGCTTCCAAACCGGGGAGGATCTTCGCCCGTTGCCCATACTATCACCTCGTTCCACGATGTCGCACTTCCCCCGACTGCTCTCCTGCAACGCGATTTCCCCAAGGGATTCGATGACGCGCAGGAAAGACGCATCGACTTTCTCCTCTCCGTCTGGCGAGCAGCGATCGGCTCCCTCGCCCTATCCGCCACAAGCGTCCAAATCCTCTCCCACTCAGCCTGCATCGTCGCGCAATACAGCCAGCGCCGTCTCGTCGGCGGCGCTCCCATTCTGCGCTTCTCGACACAGCACGCGCCCATCCTCGTTGCGCTCGCCCGGTCCTTCGTTCTGCGCGAGTTCTATCGGGCAGCGGTCCCGGTGTTTCGGGGTGACACGTTGGATTTTCGGGTCCGGCATGGCATGGCGGCGTGCTTCAAGCTTGTCGCGGTGCGATTCACTCAGGAAGGGATGACGGCGCTGTCGGAGAGGTGTGGAGCGCAAGGCTTGTTCGCCTTCAATCGTATTTGGGAGATGCAGGTTCGTCTTGATTCGTGCCTAATTACTCTCGATGGATGACGTTTCATAACTACTACTAGTCTGACGCGCGAGGGATCGCGATCGCAGAGGGAGACGTGCTGGTGCTCGCTATTCGTGCGCTCGGACCGCTCGAGAGGGACATTGCATTGACCATCTGCTTCCAGGGCTCGCTACCGAACTGCTTCTGGAGCGTTATTCGCTGGACGACCTCTGGCCCACCGTCGACAGCCCACTGTCTCGCCACGCCCAATCCCTGCTCGCCACCTTCCGCGCGACCCTGCAATCGCTCGACTCGCACCGCTCCGACTCCTTCAACTCCAAGATCATCCCGCACTGCACGCTCATCGTAGAGGCGCTCGGATTGCAGATGGCCTACGACGCCGCCGTGCGAGCGGGCCTGGCCGCGGAGATGGTGGAGCTGTTCCTGGTGACTTCGATGCGGCGCGACGAGGGGTGGTACATCGAGAACATGCATATGCGGCAAAGCGAGCTCGTCCGCAGAGAGGAGACGGCGATCGCGCGGGCGTTGCCGAAGCTTGAGCAGTGGGTCGATGCGTCCGGAGCCACGCCGTATGTCACTGCACCGATCCAGTCGCAGGAGGAGTGGGACAAGTTCGTAGCGGGATTGACCGCGTTCAGAGCACCGGAAGAGCAGCACCTAGAATTGGCGAAGCTGTGAGATGATGTTGCACGATATTCATGCAGTGCGCGTGGACTGACTCGTGAGGGGCTTGCCCGGCAACCTCATCCGAACGATGGAAGACTAGTCGCTCGTCGGTCTCTAAATATATCGAGACGAGATTCTCGTCCGACAACTGTCCTAATGACCCACCTGTCCTATCGAATTCAACAGATGAGACGTTCGAGGGAATGTTATGAGGCATGGTCATAGACGTTTGGACAAGCAAAAAGGACATCTGACCGCGCTCGAACACTAAACTTTTGCGTCTGGATATACATGTGTGTGCTATATATACACGCTGGTGGAGCTTGATTGGATCGCCGGCCTGGACGCGATAGTCATTTTTCTATCGATATCCTCGATGTCATCCGTGCGCACCTCTCATGAAGCTCACTACCCTTCCTAAGACGCTCCTGCACGAATCGGGGCTCCACTCCCTGTACACCACCGGCCGCGACGCGTGGCTGATCATCCTCGCACGCACATGCCGCATGATCGCAAACGGCGCCGCCTCCCTCCTCCTCGCGCTCTTCTTCTCCGCGCTCAGCGTGTCCGATGCGCACATCGGGCTCTTCATGACGCTCACCTACGCAGGCGACGTCCTGCTCAGCCTCTTCTGCGCGCTCGTCGCGGACCGCGTCGGGCGCAGGCGCACGCTCATGCTGGGCAGCGTCCTGATGATCGCATCGGGCGCGGTGTTTGTGTGGGCGGAGAACTACTGGGTCCTCCTCGCTGCGGCGGTCGTCGGCGTGATCAGCGCGACGGGCTCGGATTTCGGGCCGTTTCGCTCCATCGAGGAGAGCATGCTCGCGGAGCTGACGACCCCCGATACGAGAGCGGAGGTGCTCGTGTGGTATACGACACTCGCGAGTCTCGGGAGCAGCGCGGGGACGGAACTGGCAGGCCGAGTTGTCCAGATGTTGCACGCCGGGAGGGGGTGGTCACTGGTGCAGGCATACCATCTCTGCTTCGGGATGTACGTCGTGATGGGCGCTGTGAATTTGGCTCTCTGTTTCATTTTGTCGGCGCGGTGCGAATTGAAGGAGGTCGATCAAGTGGACGGTTCCATCGAGGCGCAGGGACTACTTGACGATGATGCGACGGAACTCAACAGCCCAGTGACGCCGCCTCCGACTAGCAGAAGCAAGAGAGGACTGAAGTCTGGGCCGATCTCACGGGAAACGTTGTCCATCATGTACGCCCTCTGGTTTCTGCTCATGGTCGATTCACTCGCAGATGGCATGGTTTCCATGTCCCTCACATCGTACTTCATCGACACCAAATTCCACATCCCAAAGTCAACCCTCGGCGACTTCTACAGCGCCGCCTACCTGCTCGGTTCCCTCATTACCATCCTCGCTGGACCTCTGAGCCGACGCATCGGCCTCGTCAACACCATGGTCTTCACGCACATCCCATCCTCCGCCGCGGTTCTGCTCTTCCCGTTCCCCAACTCGGTCTTCCTCACATTCGCACTCCTGCTCGTGCGGGTGGGGCTGAATAACATGGACCAAGCGCCCCGCTCGGCGCTCATCGCTGGCGTCGTTAGGCCCGAGGAGCGAACGGCTGTCATGGGCATCACCAGCACGCTGCGGACGCTGGCGTCGGTGACGGGACCTAGTATCACCGGGCTGCTCGCAGGAGGGAACAAATTCTGGATCGCGTATGTCGTCGGCGGGGTGTTGAGACTGGCGTATGACTTCGGCTTGTGGGCTGCGTTTGTGAATGTGAAGCTGGATAGACACGTCGCGAATCAACAGCCATTGGACGAAGAAGATTCGGGATAGGGAAGACACGGTCACAATACCATAGATGCTGAAAAATGAGCGCCAATGTTTCTTGAAAAAATCTTGCGTGAGTCCTTGACTTGATATTGGGCTGGAAGGTAGATGTTCTATATGAATCCTACACACGAGCTTGTATCACTTTGGGTGATCAGAGATGGCTCACAGTTGGGTCACTTGCCACAGTCGTTGGCTGTTTTTGAAATGAACAATACGTGTAGATGGCTTCAATGCCTCTCACACCGCCAGATGTTTGAAAAAATGAGCCATAAAGATAGATTTTTATTTTATATATTGTAATAGAAAAACAGAGCCACAATCTTTGCTAAAAATGGTCATTGATCGGATTCCGGTTACATTGGCTATTGTGTCCCAAAAAGGAGGTCAGTATTGATGAAATATAATATCCCAAAATGTTGGGCACTTTTTGAGACATGTTTGGTCAAATATAAGGGTCCAATGTTTATCGACAGATGGCCGCACACAATTTGGGGCTCAATATCCTCCAAAAAAAAAGTCAAAGATAAGCGTTCATGATATCTGAGATATTGCAATCCGAAAAAAGTCCGCCCGGATATCTCCAATATCATGTTCCATTTTATCTATTCATGGATGATCAGTCGCTCATCAGTTTCTGGTCCGTTGCTGATCAGTTCAAGACATCAAGTGAATCAATATAGGAATAATAAATCACATTCTCTATGACTAACTAGTGGCTAGATCAAGGACAGTGCATTGACCATCAGAGAAATTGAAACACACATAGTGAGATATAACATTGGGAAGGGGGATCAAGCCTACTGCATTGCTCATTGAAGAAGAATACGTGCATGCAGGGAAGTACAGCCAATAGTGAGCAAATGTGACAATCAACCAAAAACAATAGTTGAAAAGAGAAGTGAATTTGAAGACTGGAGAATACAACCAAGTAGCTACACAGGGAGGTCGATCTGATGGACGCCGTTCAATTTTTTGACACATGTTTCTCGTTTAAACCAAACCTGAACCAAAAATGAAAATGTAAGGTCTAAAGTTGTTTCAATATGGAGCAAAGTGAACATGGTGCATCCTAGATACACCTCGTTCAATTCTCGTCGGATGATTTTCGTACAATTGCCACACGTGATGCGTCTAGGCCTGTCCATATTCGACAGCGCTCGGGCAGTTTCGGGCAGGCTCCAAACGCTCATGAGATGCGGTGGGAGGCAACCCCTTCGAAGATAGATGGAACAAGAATGTATTCATGCATGTAGTAGAACCAGTAACACTCCCTCGCACACACAATCCATTGACGACAACTGTGCTTTGCTTCACTGCTGGATCTCACCATCCTCTCCAAACAAGCCAACATTGAATAGGGCCTCGATCAGCACAAGTGGAAGACACATGGGCACAGGAACGCACCAAATCCTTTGGTCCACACAGCTTCCCTGCGACTTCCTGCCTTAACTGCACCGTCCTCCCTCTTGAAGACGCCACTTCTCGCATAATGGTATTTGGAGCAAAAGAGTGCACTTGTTGAACACCCGAGAACCCAAGAACCCAAGAATGTATTGATGCCTTGCATGATACTTGAGGGATAGCACACTTGCGAGCGCAGCTTGCCATTTTACAGAGATGCTTGATACCAATAGATCTAGTGCAGTACTTTTGATGAGAAGTTGCAGCTTCGCGTTGTATTGACCATTTCTTGAGCTTCAGAGGACGGTTGTGGAGGACGTTTGCGGAGGTTGCAGGAAACCGAGACCAAAGAGCGCGTGTGATCTTGAGTGATTGTCTAGAGAAGAGGTGTGTGTGATTATGTGACATCACAGAGTCACCACGCTTTCGTTCACGTTTGATCCATTCAAGTGAGAGTGCAGAGAGAAGGGTAGTTACTACATGGATGTACTACCAAAGTCTGATGGAATAGAAAAACTAGGTATTATCCCCATGGACGCCCAAAAGTCTCCGACTGGGGCTTGAGATCCTGTAGACGTTTGCTGTTGCATTTCAGACTCCGGCTCAGGTGTTGTCGCAGATGACAAAGTAATCTGGACGGGATTCCCTGGAACAAGCCCTCGGAACTTGCTCTCTGTCATAGTTCGGCCACTTTTCATCTTATCATCGACGATCTCATCTTATCTTGGCACGGATTATCTTATCACGGATCACGGCATCTGACGGTCTGGGCTAGGGGTCTAGGGGTATCTTTATCGATTCGAGGCTGCGCGACATATGCTCCAGAAGGTTCTACTACAACCCATGACCAGCGTTCCATGCGGTACATAGTCTTATGACTCATTAGTTGTAGATATGACTCAGACTGGACTTGGGTATAAATACTGTAGCTACTCGGTTGTATTCTCCAGTCTTCGAATTCACTTCTCTTTTCGACTTGTTTTTGGGTTGATTGTCACATAATTCGAAGACTCCCCTCATACCCTCCTACCTCATACCTCTTACCCTGCATCCTGCACCGCTACGCCCGCTATATCCCTTTAACCCTTATCACCCCACTCACCCTTTTACCGAATCATTTAGTCGTCCTCCACTATTGCAGTGAAGGGTTCATATTGAGCAAACAGCACCAGGCCACGGGTAACGTTGAGCCCGACCCAAGCCTTACGGTAGCTACAAGGAGTGCTGTGGAGACCTTCGGGAAAATGCACCTCGGGATCATCGGGCACGTGAAGAGCTAGGCCCGGGATCTTTTTGCTAGCAAAAGAACCTTTCCTCGAGTGCTTGTACAGCACACGAATCCACCATTTCGTTCCAATTCCCATCGTCATCCGGGAGTCCGTCTCCTCCTCCCATCCTACCATCATCGCCCGATCTGGCATATCAAAACCAACCGGGGTCCTCCAATCCCTACCTTGCCCTCCCGCCGCCTGAAGACGAGATCCCCGACCTTGACGAGTTGCCCTCCAAACAACCACCCTTGCCCCCACCTACCACGCCTGCTCGTACCATGTCAGGACACCATCGCATCACCCTCGCCGCCAACCCTCCCTATTTCGATGGGGACAAGACCAAGTACATGGGCTTCGTGAACTCGTGCACCACCTACATCGGCGCATACCGGTCGGAATTCTCGCTGGATGAAACCAAGATCCTCTTCATCCTCTCCTACCTCCGCAACAAGGCTGGCACAAGCTGCGCCGCCTCGAGATGGGCGATGAACTGGAAGCAGCGCAACTTCGAGAGCCTTAATGGAATAAAGGCTGGGGTCACCTCGGCAACCTTCTTGGAGGAACTACAGAAGGCCTTTGGGGACTCCAATGCGGAGCAAGTTGCCGCCGCTCGACTCATGGCTCTGCGCCAGAATAGACGATCCTTCGCGGATCATATCTCCGACTTTGAGATGCTGGCTGCAGACGCAGGGTACAACGTGGTCACCTCCACCGACAGCAAGGGCGAGTACAAGAAGGGGGATCAGGACAACATCCTCATCGAGTTCCTCGAGCGTGGACTGAGCAGCGAGATCGCAAGCCGCCTCTACAACACTGGTGTTCCCCTGCCCAAGGCGTATGGCGCCTTCAAGGACTGGTGCGTCAACATCGAGGCAAACGCTCTGCGCGATCAGCTGCGCAAAGCGTCGCATGGGCACTCCACGCCACGACCACCTCCCCCATTCCGCCCACAGGCAGCCCCAACAACACCTACACCCGCCCCGGCCCAACCCGCTGCCAACGAACCGGTCCCAATGGATATCGATCGCACCCACGCCCGCGGCCGCAATATCATCTGCTACAACTGTCAGCAGCCGGGGCACATCGCGCGGAACTGCCCGGAGCCAAGGAAGAAGCGCACATTCTTCAATCAGGCCACGATGCTTTAAGAAATCGAGAACGGGGACAAGGACAACGAGTTCCTCAAGGAGATTGCCGAGAAGCTGCGCAAGAAGGGTTTTTGAAGCGCTCCACTCCTCTAGCCAAGGAGGTGGAGCGTCCGGACTATGGACGATTTTCTGTACTTGTTTCGATTAAAGACATGAACAATTCTACACATACATACACAATCTCGGACTCACTACGTACCAATATTCACGATTTTCTCATTGCCGATATGGAAAAAGAACGCCAAAGAAAAATAGCTTTAAATAGAGAGTATTTACAGAGTAAAAAGGATCAGAAGGCTACAGATAAATTAATTTTGGACTCCTACGTATTTATGGCTCGTGGAGAAGAAACCACATCAACAAAGACCGAAAAGGGGAGCATCGCTCCGGAGGCTCAATCCTTGGAAAAGGAGGAAGCGCCTAAGGAATCTGCCGAAATCAAGGTTCCAGAAGCACCCAAACGCACAAGGGTGCCAGATGCCGTCCAGAGGAAATTGGCGGCCGAGAAACAGAAGGGCCCCCAGCCCAGCAGACTGGCGCAGGAATTGCGCAACTACCAGGCCAAAAGGAAGAGACATTTGATGGACGTATATGTCCAGATCACAGGCCTAGACTCAGGAAAAACGCGTGGAGTCAAGGCGCTGCTTGATAGTGGCTGCAGTACCTGCTGCATTGACACCGACTACGCACAAGCAGAAAAACTGGATATTCAAGAACTTCCCCAACCCATAGTGGCTCGTAACGCCGACAACACCGAGAACATCAGTGGCCGGATCACGCATTACGTTGACTTAAGGATGAGAATCGGTCCTCATGTGGAGACACGCATGTTCCTTCTGACGTGCCTGGGAAAAGCTCGGATCTTCATTGGTCTTGATTGGCTGATGGAACACAACCCCGAGGTGGATTGGCAGGAGCAGACCATGAGATCCAGCCGATGCCCAGAACGGTGTCACATGAGGGGTCACAAGGAGCACCAAGCAATGATCGACATGGATGCAATCGACTTGGACACGGACGCACCAGATCTGGAAGAGGGAGAATCGATCCTGTTGGTTGATTTTGGGAAGGAAGTGGATTTACGGCTGAAGGAAACACCGGCACAGAAATTCGCAGAAGAAGCGGAAAAGGAGAAGGAGAGAATGACCGAGGGGAAAATTCCGGATCAATATCGGGAATTTGTCAAAGTATTCGCCAAGGAATCGTTCGACTCGCTGCCAGACCGACGGGCATGGGATCATGCAATCGAGCTCAAACCAGGTTCCAAAGCAGTGGACTGCAAGGTGTACCCCTTATCGCGAAACGAGCAGGTCAAACTCGACGAGTTCTTGCAAGAGAATCTTGCCAGCGGACGGATCAGACCATCAAAATCACCCATGGCATCAGCGTTCTTCTTTGTCAAGAAGAAGGATGGCTCGCTACGGCCCGTCCAAGATTATCGGAAGTTGAACGAGATGACAATCCGAAATTGATACCAGCTGCCGCTGATCTCCGAACTGGTTCACAATTTATGCGGCGCCAAATTCTTCACGAAATTAGACATCCGGTGGGGATACAACAACGTACGAATCAAAGAGGGCGACGAGTGGAAGGCTGCATTCCGCACGAACCGCGGACTATACAAGCCCTTGGTCATGTTCTTTGGCCTCACGAACTCCCCGGCGACCTTCCAAAACATGATGAATGACATACTCCGAGAACTGATCAACGAGGGCCACGTGGTAGTTTATCTTGATGATATATTGATCTTTACAGAGAACCTGGACGAACATTGACGGATCACAAAACGAGTACTCGGATTGCTCCAAAAACATAAGCTATACCTGAAACCCGAAAAGTGCGAGTTCGAACGCACGGAAATCGAATATTTGGGTGTAATTATTGGACACAATTTGATGCGGATGGACCCAGTCAAGATCAAGGGCGTGATGGAATGGCCCGAACCAAAGAGTGTCAAACAGGTCCAAGCTTTCCTCGGATTCACAAACTTCTATCGGCACTTTGTCCAGGGATACGCGGAGATTGCCAAGCCGCTGACACGGCTGACAGGGAAGGCAGGATGGTCATGGGGTACAGATGAGCGTGCGGCATTTGATGGGTTGAAGAAGAGAATCGCGGAGGATGCGGTCTTAGCACTGCCAAATGACACTGGCCAATATCGTCTGGAAGCCGATGCTTCGGAAGGGGCAACAGGAGCAGTTTTAAGCCAAAACCAAGACAACATCTGGCGTCCAATCGCATTTATTTCACACGCATTGACCGAAACCGAGCGAAACTACGAGATCTATGATAAGGAAATGCTTGCGATCATGCTATCACTGGACGAATGGAGGCAGTTACTACTGGGAGCCACGGAAACGTTCGAGATCTTTACCGATCATCAGAATCTTGAGTACTTCCGGAAACCGCAGAAACTCAATCGACGGCAAGCACGATGGATCACAGAGTTGGCAGAGTTTGATTTCACCTTGCGACACCGGCCCGGCGCACTCAACCGCAAGGCGGATCTCTTATCTCGACGAGCGGATCACGATCAGGGCAAGAACGACAACAAGGACGTCACGCTACTAAAGCCGGAGTTCTTCCGATCACAAGAAGTCACATTCAAGGGGCAGGATCAGCAGCTAATCAATGAGATCAAGGCTACTCAACCGATTGATGGAAGCGTCAAGGCAGCCTTGGAGAAGTCACTTGCTGGATGGAAAAAGGAAGACGGACTCATCACGTATCACGGGAAGCTCTACGTGCCAAGGGATGAGGAGCTGCGGGACAAGATCATTGGGCTACACCACGACACACCCCTGGTCGGACATGCAGGGATCAACCGAACACAGGAGATGGTGGAAAGGAACTACTGGTGGCCAAGGATGGGGAACCAAATTCGGAAATACATCCAGACGTGCGAGGCATGCCAACGGACCAAGACCAGAAGGGCGAGAACGGGGGTCCTACACCCGCATGCGGTTCCAAATGCACCATGGGAAATCATATCAATGGATCAAATTGGACCCTTGCCGGTCAGTAACGGGTATGATGCAATCCATGTGTGGTGTGACACCTTCACCAAAATGATCCATGTCGAACCCATTAGTACTGACATCAGCAGCGAAGGAGTAGCACGGTTGAGAAGGGATTGGGTCTTCCGTTACCACGGGATCCCTCGCAAGATCATCACCGACAGGGACTCACGATACATCAAGGGCTTCATGAAGGAAACGAATCGGATGTTGGGCGTGGAGATGAATCCGGGAACCGCATATCACCCAATCACAGATGGCCAAACGGAGCGTATGAATCAGGAGATCGAGCACTATCTCCGCATCTACGTCAACTATCATCAGACGGACTGGTCGGAGTGGCTGGGAATGGCGGAGTTTGCATATAATGACAAAATGAACACGTCTATGTCATAGTTCGGCCACTTTTTTATCTTATCTTCGACGATCTTATCTTATCTCGGCACGGCTTATCTTATCACGGATCACGGCATCAGACGGTCCGGGCTAGGGGTTCGAGGGATTATCCTTATCGATTCAAGGCTGCGCGACATATGCTCCGGAAGGTTCTACCACAACCCATGACCAGTGCTCCATGCGGTACATAGCCTTATGACTCATTAGTTGTAGATATGACTCAGACTGGATTTGGGTATAAATACTGTAGCTACCTGGTTGTATTCTCCAGTCTTCGAATTCACTTCTCTTTTCGACTTTGTTTTTGGGTTGATTGTCACAGTCTACCAAAGTATCACCATTCTACGCAAATCACGGATATCACCCATGGAAGGGAGTGGAACAACGGATGGAATCGAGAAACGAGTCGGCGGAGGAATTTGTAAAAAGAATCAAAGAAATACAAGACGAAGCAAAAGCAGCATTGGAAAAAGCAAATGAAAAAATGAAAAAATACTACGATAAGCAAAGAAAAGAAGTTCCGGAGTTGAAGGTGGGGATGAAGGTGTACATAGAGGGGGACAATATCGAGACGGACAGGCCTTCGAAGAAGATGAGCGACAAGAGATTGGGGCCATACAAGGTACTGGAGAAGGTTGGAGCGGCCGCATGGAAGCTGGATTTGCCGGATACGGACCGAAGACACCCCGTGTTCAACGAGTCACTGTTGACGCCCTATCACAAACCACCCCCCCATCGCCAAGAGAAGAGACCCGTAGCCAGGATGATCGGAGGAGCAGAAGAGTGGGAAGTCGAAGAGATTGTGAAAGAACGGAAAGTCGGCCGAGGGAAACAGTACTTGGTCAAATGGAAGGGATGGCCACATAGCAAGAACACCTGGGAACCATCACGTCACCTTACCCACGCAAAGAGAGTCCTGAGAGATTGGCAGAGGAAACAATCCAACCCAGACACACGCATTCGCCTCCTGCCAACGCTCAAAACTGGACACTGGGATTATCTCATTCATCGCTATAAACCCAGAGACGAACGACTTCCATACCCCCAACGACAACTCTTCGACCCTTACAAGAACATCTTCACGCCCATTGGCCTAGTCAATGAGGACATCGACCCTAGAGAGGGGGTAATGTCATAGTTCGGCCACTTTTTCATCTTATCATCGACGATCTCATCTCATCTTGGCACGGATTATCTTATCACGGATCACGGCATCTGACGGTCCGGGCTAGGGGTCTAGGGGTATCTTTATCGATTCGAGGCTGCGCGACATATGCTCCGGAAGGTTCTACTACAACCCTTGACCAGCGTTCCATGCGGTACATAGTCTTATGACTCATTAGTCGTAGATATGACTCAGACTGGACTTGGGTATAAATACTGTAGCTACTTGGTTGTATTCTCCAGTCTTCGAAATCACTTCTCTTTTCGACTTCATTTTTGGGTTGATTGTCACAAGACAAAGCCAATAGGGAAGGTGAAGATGTGTAACTGGATATTGCAATTGATGCAGGGCCCAGTGCGGGGTCTGGTGCGGGGTCTGGTGCGGGGTCTGATGCGGGGTCTGGTGGGGGAGCAGGGGCAGGGGTGGATTACACAAAATTTTGATGTATCTACTCTGGCTAGGGTTGTAGAATATCACGTAACTTTTCTCTATTTTGGCAGGGAATTGGGGATAAAGATACACAACATTGCTCGCATGTTTTGGCTGGGTCTCCAGGTCAAGTCATGTGATTTACCAATGTTTCGGTGGGAGGTAGGAGATTAATGGATGATGTTACCTATATAATCCATGGCATGTGAAGTCAAGCAGAACATGTGATTTTCTCATTTTTTGGCTGGCAGGATGGGTGGCATAGTAGATTGGCAGACCAGGGTCCACACTCCACTCATTGATTGTTTGCTTTACCCATTTAATATATATGTGTAGCACAGTGGTATCCATTTTTGGAGCTTGTAATAGAACATATTAGGTACACATCTCATCCCCCCCTTCCTGGCTGAATGCACTTGAGGTTTGAAACTTGTGTGTTCCCTTGCAAGCGATCTGCTTGGGTTTCAGCATGAATTCATTAAATAGAGTGGATTTGAGGTGAACTATATTCATTACTCGGTGTGATGTGAGAGGATGTATTTACTGGCAAGTTGTCCCACAATAGTCAGAGTGGGTTTCAGCATGAATTCATTAAATAGAGTGGATTTGAGGTGAACTATATTCATTACTCGGTGTGATGTGAGAGGATGTATTTACTGGCAAGTTGTCCCACAATAGTCAGAGCTTGGTTATCAGTGCAAATTTGACATGTAAACTCTTAACAACTTGTGTCTTGGCTTGTATCTTTTGGAAGACCAACTGCAAACACATGGCTGATTGTTTTTACCAATGAGTCTCTACCCACCCCAGCCATGACCACCTGCCTGCACCCCCGCCTTCACCCCCGCCAGCACCCCCGCAACTACCCTGCCACTGATTGACCCCCGCCATCACCCCCGCCACACCGGTGCCTCAGCCCCTGCCATCTCCGAATATGTAATATTATGTAAAGTGACAGCCCGGAACATATCAAGTCAGTAGCCAATCAGGGCCTGTATAAACGTCGTACCTAACTATGTTTTGCTCTTCTGAGACTGTTTTTACATATATGCAGCTAAAAACCATCGGAATTATGTCTCCTTATGCTGTTCTTGTTGAATATAATGCCACTTCATGTCCTCTGTCAGCCCAAAATTCGAAACATGGAAACAGCTCATAGTGACTCAATGTTCCTATATGTCAGGGGAACCCCCGCTTTGGACCGCTCTGCCTTCGATCAGGCATGTGATCGCGCTTGCGTGACCTGTCAGCTGTCACGTGCCGCGGCCCGGACTGCCACGCCAAGCGCTTCTCTCTGATGGGCACATGGTCAGGTGTCCCATCATTCCCACTGTCTCGGTTTCCTATTGTTCTCCAACGGCCATTGTACTTATTGTTCCCATTGTTCTTTGTTTGTCGCTGCACGCTCTATTGCTCTTGTATCATATAAATAGTGGCGCCTGGCAAAGAGAATCCCCAACACGGTTTCTCTTTGGATTCTCCCTTGCCAGGTATGCCGGTCTTGTACCTAGCTACCACTATTGACACTTTGGATTCTCCCTTGCCAGAACTCTGAGATCGGGTCTCGAGGTTGCCCTTACAGCAGAAACCGTGTTCCTAGGGATAACTGGTCAAGATTGCGAGGTTCGACGCTGATAGTAACAGCGGAGACGAGTCAACGAGCAACCAAGACCGCCAATCCGTCACCTCTTTGCTTGCCCCCTCCTCCCCTCCACAAGCACACTCAACCAGCATGGAAGACGACAACTCCCAGCATCGACTGTCCGCCCTGGAGACCAGCATCCAAAACATCGAAGCCGTACTCAATCGGCTCCTCAACCAACCACAACCCCCTGCCCCTGCCCCTGCACCAGCTCCGGCAGTGGGTCCAGGTGTTTCTGCTGGCTCGCAGCCGAACACTGCGCGCCCCCTCATCCGTCCCAACCCCCCCTTCTCGTTCGATGGGATCACACCTTGGGCAAGAGCTTCTTGCACTCAGTGAAGCAGTACTGGCGACTGCTCCCCGAGGCGTTCTTCGTGAACGGGGTGGTCGCTGAGGAGAAGGTAGTCCGCTTCGCCCTCTCCTACATGTCCAAGGACTCGGCGGCCTCCTGGTCCGAGCGCATGTCTGAGCGCACCCCGTTCCCGTTCCCCACTTGGGCTCTGTTCGTCACCGAGTTCAAGCTCCGATTCGTCGAGGAGAACAAGCAACACCACGCCTTGGCGCGGTTGGAAACCCATCAGTATTATATGGGCTCCCGCGACGTATTCAAGTACACGGACGAGTACGACGACCTCCTTGACCTCGCTGGTTATACCGACAACTTGGTCAAGGTGACCAAATATAGGACGGGCTTGGACCCGAGGATCAACCAAGCCATCACCACCTCTGGTAACCCTCCCAGCCTCACCGACTACGCCGAATGGCGTGTCCGTGCATTCCGGCAGTACAATGCGGAACTCGCTGCCAGAGCTTCTCGAGGCCACGCAGCGCCTCCTCCCCGAGCGCCTGCTGTTGCCCCCCGTCCTCGTGCCCCAGTGCTCCCTGCTGTAGCACCGGCCCTCGCTGCCCACCCGGCGCCCGCCCCTGTCGCCCATCCAATTCCCATGGAGGTAGACCGGGCCCGGCTCCGTGGTGACATTCGACGCACCTGCTTCTGCTGCGGCAGTCCGGGTCATCTTGCCTGTGACTGCCCCACCCCAGCTGACATACGTCACGCTGATGTCCTTGATGAGGTCATCAATCAGCTGGGGAGTGATCTGCTTTCCGAGTTGGTTGCTCGGGTCGTGACCACTGCAGCTGTTGCGGATCATGCGTCCAACGTCGCAGCCGAGGAGGAGCAGGGTTTTCTCCCCAGCGACGAGTGAGTAGTATGCCCTCGTTCGCTTTGCGTAATCGTTTCTCCTGTTTGTATGATGAATCCAATTCCCTCCACTCTGCAACAGTTGAAGCGATAGACGTACACCCTGCTCCCCCTCTAACCCCACGAGTCCGTAAGGAGAAGTGGGAACGCAAGCTCCCTTCCTGCTATGTCGCTGCCGCCTCTCCCGGGGCCAATTCTCTCCACCTCCCCCTCGAGATCGAGTCCACCGACAACGCAGTGAAGTTATCTCTCAAAGGCCTGGTCAATTGTGGTGCCACATCCGACTTCATCGACTCGGCCTATGTCCTCGAAAATCACCTCCCCGTTCGTCGCCTCACCCAGCCTATCCCCGTTTACAACGTGGACGGCACGCCGAACAAGGCCGGTTCCATTCGCGAAGTTGCTGATGTGGTTCTCCGTTACCAGGGCCACAGTGAATGCGTGCAGCTTGCTGTCACCTGTTTAGGCAAGCAGCAGCTCATTCTAGGGTACTCCTGGCTCCGGAAGCACAACCCAGAGATCAACTGGGATACCCAGGAGGTAAAGATGAGCCGTTGCCCTTCTGGTTGCTCCACCTGCCGGGAGGAACTTCGCGAAGAACGTCGATCTGCCAGAACCGCAGCCCGGGTGCTCCGCACCATCAGACAAGGTCCGGTTCCATCCATCTGCGCTGTCGACGTTGAGGACCACGAGGACGAAGAGATGCCAGAGCTTTTGCCAGACTCGGACGATTATGACCCTGAAGATGTCGAAGAAGATGACGACTCCTTGGAAGCCAGTGACCGTATCTTTTACACCCGCTTCAACCCTTCTGAAAACATCCGAGCCACCAGCACCGTCTCCCAGCGACTCGCCGAGGCGTTTGCTAAGAACTCTGCACCTCCTCGGGACACCATCCCCGAGTGGGCCCGCGAGTTCGAAGATGTTTTCAGCAAGGAGTCCTTCGACAACCTGCCAGAGCGACGCCCCTGGGATCACGCCATTGAACTGGTTCCTGACGCGAAGCCGACCAACTGTAAGGTCTACCCCATCTCCCCTCTCAAACAGAAGCAGCTCGACAGCTTCATCGAGGAGGGCATGGCTACTGGCAGGATTCGGCCGTCAAAATTGCCCATGGTGTCTCCCGTCTTCTTTGTGAAGAAGAAAGATGGCACCTTACGGTTTGTCCAAGATTACCGAGCGCTAAACGCGATGACAGTGAAGAACCGCTACCCGCTCCCCCTGATCAATGATCTCATCAACAAGCTCAAGGGAGCTCGGTTCTTCACCAAACTCGACGTTCGCTGGGGCTTCAACAACGTGCGCATTTGTCAAGGCGACGAGTGGAAGGCAGCGTTTCGGACAAACCGCGGGCTCTTTGAGCCGTTGGTGATGTATTTCGGCCTGACCAACTCCCCCGCAACGTTCCAGACGATGATGAATGACATACTTCAGGACCTCATCCTCTCTGGCGACGTTATGGTGTACCTCGACGACATTCTCATCGCACATTCCGATATCCATCGTCACCAGGAAATCGTGAACGAAGTCCTCTGACGTCTCCGCAAGAACAAGCTCTACCTTCGCGTGGAGAAATGCGAGTTCGAGATGCCGTCGATCGAATACCTTGGGGTGATCATTTCCCACAACCATGTGGAGATGGACCCGGTCAAGGTCGCAGGTGTGGCAGAGTGGCCAGCTCCGGCTAACAAGAAGGAAGTG